GAGGATGCAGTTTAACATCAGACCACAAGTTGGTCAGGGCTTCTTTCAAGCTGTCTCCAAAGAAGAAAGCATCCCGGCATACCAAAGTAACAAAAATAAACCTGGCCAAACTACAAGATCACGAGCATCGACAGAAGTATCAACTCACTGTATGTCAGAAAATTCTAGAGGGCAGAGACTTAACAGACAGCAACAAACGATGGAACAACATCAAGAAAGCCTGCCTGTCACCAGCATCTGAGACCCTTGGGTATATAAGCAAATCTACTAAAGTCACACACCCTGTTATCACTGAACTGTCGTCTAAGCAAAAGAGTCTCTTTCAAACCATTCAGGCGACACAAAACAAGGATAAAAGAAACGAACTGAGGAAGGAAAGAAATAGCGTTCTTACCAAACTCCATAACACAAAGAAAGAGATACATGAACAAGAACTGAGAAGAAAAGCTGAAGAAATTAAAAACCAGAAAGATGACTCTACAAAGTATTTCAAGGCCATCAGAAATATACAGCAGAGGCAACCCAATAGGATCTTGGTTGCAGACGAAGGCGGTAACATGGTCATCGATACAGCTGGCCAAGAACAGATCATCAGAAACTGGTTTCAAAGCAAGTTTGACTTGGATGATGAAGCTATAATTGAAGAATTTCCACCACGGATGATGAGCAAGCCCTTCACCAAGATAGAAGTCAAAAAGGCGATCCAATCACTAAAAAATTGCAAAAGTGCTGGAAAAGATAATCTCAGTGCCGAGTTGCTAAAGTATGGACCCGAGATGATTGCTCAAGAAATTGCCAGAACTCTGAATGAAACCGCTAGCACTGGCATCTACCCTGACGACATCAAAGAAGGTATTCTCGTTCCTCTTCCTAAGCCAGGCAAACCAAAGGGACCCCCAGTGAACATAAGGCCAATCGTTCTTCTGACATTTATCCGGAAAATAATGGCCATTTGTTTGACGAAGAGAATCGCCGACAGATTAGACGACCACATACCAGCTTCCCAAGCAGCCTATCGACACGGCAGAGGCACCACTGAGCAGGTCTTTGCCTTAAAGATCTTAGCAGAGAAGGCCATCACAGCCGATAGCTATGAACTTCACCTACTGCTGCTCGACATGTCAAAGGCTTTTGACTCGGTGAGGAGAGTGGTTCTCTTTGAGGATCTTAAAGAGATACTAGAGCAAGACGAACTCCACTTACTGGCAATCTTGCTTAGAGACGTTCGATTGCAAGTCAGAGTGGGAACTATCTTGGGTAAGCCCTTCAAAACCAACATCGGCGTGCCTCAAGGAGACTGCCTCAGTCCCATTCTCTTCACTCTATACCTGGCAAAAGCACTGAGACAACTTGACCCGGAAACACCCGAGACACCATTCACTCTTCAGGATCACAATTATTGCACGCAGACACAGTCCCAATCCCTTCCTGTGGAACTCGAGAACCACAGCTACGCCATTTGCCCGCCAGCATACTTTGAGATGGGATTACAGTATGCTGATGACATCACTTGGGCAAGTAACAATATCCACCCAATAGCAACTGTGGAGAGGAAGGCACCTGAGGTACTAAAAGAGCGAAACCTCACAGTAAACACGTCTAAGACAGAGAAACACCTCATCAGTAGAAACGGAAGCAACACCAGTTGGAAGAAATGCAAATACTTGGGATCTTTTCTCGACACTGAGCAAGATATTACCAGGAGGAAAATACTTTCGATGGTATCTTTCAACAAATTCAGGAATGTCTTCAACAGTGATGCAATCTCAAACAACACGAAACTCAAAACATTCCGCGCCTTCATAGCATCTGTATTCCTATGCAACAGCGAACTATGGACATTGACTAAGTCACTAGAAGAGAACATTGATGCATTTCACAGAAGACTCTTGCGTTCAATCCTTAATATAAAATGGCCCAAGAAGATCACCAATAAAGAACTGTACAGGAGAACCAACGAGATCCCTTGGAGTACTGCCATTACCCGAAGACGTTTTATGTGGACAGGCCATCTCCTGAGACTACCCGAGGAAGCTCCTGCCAAGCAAGCACTTCTAGAGGCAATCCGCAAGACCAAGCTACCAAAAGGGGGACAACGAACCACGTGGCTGAAGAGAGTAAACAAGGACCTGACAACCACGGGGGTCAACATCAAGGATCGATGCACGTGGCACGTGGCATCAGACAGAGAACAGTGGAAAACACTTACAGAGTGCGCGATGTCAGATCAACTTGACGCAAGCGCCTAGATGAGTCTTTATATAGAGATCAGTGGAGAGCGCTGAAAGAAGTCAGAGACTTCATCAAGTGCGTCGGGTCCTGGGTCAATTCGACAGAGGGCGCCATCAGGATTAGAAAAGCCAAAGCTTGGAAGGCCCTGAGGATGATCTGGAATTCAGCGATGTCTTGGGAGGTCGAGATCTCCTTGTTTCTTGCCACCGTCGAATCAGTCCTTCTCTACGGGTGCGAAACATGGTCGCTCACCCCTTCCCTGTAGAAATCACTCAATGGCTGTTACACCCCCATGCTGCGGTCAGCTCTCGGTATATCCTGGCGGGAGAAAGTGACCAACGTTGTCCTTTACGGGGACCGAGGGTGAGTGACAAAATAGCAGCACGCCGGATGCGGCTGGCGGGGCATTACCAGCGCCACCCTGAGCTCAAGGCGCACCCGGTGGGTTTCGCGGGAGCCGAAACATGGCAGGAGGAGGCAGGGTAAGCCAGCTATGTCCTATGTGGGGCTGCTGAAGAAAAAAAACTGGAGTGGAGACAGCCGGCGAGCTTACCACCCTTATGGCGGACTGGGGTGAGTGGGGCAATCGTATCGGAGCCCGGCTGTGGCCGACATGATGATGATGATGATTGGAGTCTGTATGCTATAATTGCCTTTCACCTTCGGCTCGGGTAATTATCAGCATTCCGGACTCCAACCAGTGTTAAACATAGTGTAACACCTTCCAAGCACACATTTATTCCCTTAATAAAAATATTTTTCCAATGCACCACAACATAATGGAACAATGAAATACGAAGAATGTAAAAACTAACTACTTTAAATCACCGTTGAATTATTTGAAATTGAAATTGTGAAATGTTTCACTAGAGGATAAGCGAGATTTGTGTTAAAATATTGTCCTTTATGGAATTAGAATACTTAATACTTGGAGTACTTTTACATGTATAGCTTTTAATGATAATGATATTTCCTCTGAAAATGTTAAAATACCTTTAAGAATGAAGTCAATATAAACTCAAGGGCGGATCGGGGGGGGGGGCCAAAGGGGGCCATGGCCCCCCCCACCAATTTTTTTTTAATTTTGTGTATGTAACTTCGCAATTAAGGTAGGCAATGAGTACACCACCATCTGTTCCTCAAAAAAACATTGGTTAAAGTGGTCAGAAATTGCCTCAGATCGCACCACAGAGCATCTAGAATCCAAATTTTTTCGGGGCCCTTCAGCGGGCCCCGAACCCCACGCCGTAATTTGTTTGACCCACTTTTAAGGGAACCAAACATGTTTTGGCCCCCCAAAATTGTGTTCTGGATTCGCCCTTGTATATACTCCCATAATATTCCTCCTGAATGCACTGACGGATTTTTTTTTTTGGGGGGGGGGGTACGAAAGGGGGGGGTACGGGTATTGGACCTCAATTTGACGATAAGATCAGTGGTGTGGCCAGAGAGAGAGAGAGAGAGAGAGAGAGAGAGGGGGGGGGGAGAGGGGGAGGGGGGAGGGGAGGGGAGGGGGAGGGGGGAGGGGGTAGAGTGGCAGATTGCAACAGGGTGGAGATTTCAAAAGCGAAATCGGGAAGCTGCGTGATAGAAGCAAAATCGGGACGGTGTACGAAAATGGGTTAAACGGGACGACAATTCTATTTTGCAACGGGCAAACAAACCGCATACGGAAAGGAGATGGGTAAGCCGTACGATCGATTTTCTTTAATCTTAACTCCTTCAGTTTATTAAAATCTGCTCTATACCCATGCTCTTCAACATTTTGAGATTCTGGCGCCCGTTTGAATATTTTGAGATGCTGGATACGCGCCAGTTTGAGGACAGCACAATAACAAAAATTCATTTGGCCTATTTTTAAATTTTTTTGGGGGGGGGGGCGTGCGTTCCTCCCCCTCCCCCAGGACCCGTCCCCGTCTCCCCCAGGATCCAACAGTATCTGATAATGGCGTTTAATTGTCATGTCCTTAGGAGGGGCAATGGAGAAACAATTGTTCAGGGTGTTGTCCCTTAAACATACAGATTTCTTCAACAAAGTGCGGGCATAATGAATTTCAAGGACAACAAGACAACTAAGAAAAAACAAAAACTCCATACAAAGTAATGATCATCATTGTGTATGAAGGCTAGGGGCATAATTATAGCACTTAAAATAACCGGATGCAAGCTTTTCTTTTAGCAACGCGCACCAGTATTTTGAAACGGAAACTAAATACGAAGGAAAAAATGGATAAAACTTCAAAATGAATATCCAGCTTGGTAACCCATTTTGAATTTTGTTGTGGACGTAACTAATACAGGTCAAAAATTTTACTTTTAGGGACCTAAAAATACAAGTGTTCACACAAACCTACGGAAATAAAGGTGCGCGTAACGCAACTTATGCCCCACTCGCTGACAAAATGGCGCCACCAATGGAAAAATGCGCGTCTGTACGCGCTGCTGATCAAGTTTTTTTATTCTATATCTATGGCAGTGGTCGCTTTGCGCATACTGTTCGTAGGACATAATGAGCGCAATGAGCGTAAGGCGTAAACTTGGCGTGAGACGCAGAACGCACAAGAGAATGGCACGCAAATAACAATCAGTGAACATCTACGTTACGCACATTCAACTATGTGAATCTTCGTGCTTAAAAAATTAGACTAATGGCGTAAAAGCGAACGAACTGCACGATGCTTTGAAAGACCAAACGATTGTTAACAAGAATCATACTTTTTGTGGCATAAATCATGGTTACTTGATCTTTTGGAAACTTCTCGATTGTGAGAAATTGATGGAGATGTGAACAATGTAGAAAGGATGAAGTGATGGTACGCCTTCGACGAGGATATAATAATTTCGCCTTCCATGCCAGTAGATTTGGAGTAAGCCTCACGTCACTGATTGCCATCTTTGTATTGATGTGTCCATCAAGCACGTCCGGTGAGAGCTTTTAATTGTTGTGTTTGGTTGAGCAAGGGTTGGGGGTATATGCCTTTTCTGGACCTAGTGCCGAAACAGCCAAAAACTGAAATATTCACCGTCAAACAGGTCTTCAGTACTAGGCCCTAGACCTATTTGACGGTGAATATACATGATATAGGGCCTAGGTCAAGATAGCACCTTCGGAGCCAACAAGTGCAGGTAGTAAAGTCGGTATATTTTAAGTTAGAGAAATATTTTTCTTTAGGTAAATTTCTGACTGTTCTGTTTGAATCAGTTAAAAAAAAATCAGCGTATAAATAATCCACAGAATCGGTCAAGAAATCGGATATCATTTCGGACCAACGAACGTTGAGGTACAATTAATTTGTTTCTGGTTTAGACCAGGGCCAGGTGGACTCCCTTACCGCACTACGTGCCACGAAGATGGCATCCAACCTGGGTTATCTTTCTATAATGAGCCTCGTGTATGACTTTCACTCTAAAGTTTTGATCTTGATATTTGTTTTGTCTTAAGGATGGAAAGTTGGTGTTAGAGACCAAGACAAGACTTGCTATCTCTACAGCCACCAAACCAAAACTTGTTTTATACAAAGCCACGTCAACGGCCGGATAGTTCTGCAGTTAAGCCTCACGCCCACTTCGGAAGCCGATTTGACCACACCCCCTCATATATCCTGGTTCCGGCGTGTTAAACTCCGGAACAGGCACTCTCTGGCCGTGGTGAACCTGCTTGAAGGAGGGCGCCCTCCGAAGTTTATGGAGCTGTCAGCTAACAGGACCGACTTGACCATCAACATTTTGTCCGAGAAGGACATGAGCCGAAACAGCTTCAAGGCGAGGGTTGGAAGCAAGGGACAAGGTGACCACCAAAATTTCGTCCTTGAATCTGAAACCATAGGTGAGTGCTATTATTCTCATTATTATTATTATTATCAATTTCTGGTAATAAATTGAACCAAGGAGTCCTCAAAAGCACCCTAGGCACTGTAAATCGCAAGCCTGAAGAAACCTATTGAAAGAAGACATTGAGAAGTAATTACAGTTTTGGAGGTAGGAGGAAAACTCCAAAAGAATATTCTTGGGAAAGTCCACGGAATCGGGTAGGGACTGAACACCGAATCCATATTGGTCACAGCTGCGATGGAAGGCGAGGAAAGAACCGCTGCGGCGACCGGACTCAATGTATATTACTGACTTTTTTGGGGGTGGGATAATTACAATACGCTGCAGGACCTGATCGTAGCGAAAAGATGAGAGTAAATTTAGTGTTCAGACTATACGATCAGACAGAGGTATATTGATCAGACAATTGGTATAGCCATGAAGTGTAGACTTTTCAAGATGGGGATGATGTGGGAACATTTCCTCACTTTGGACTTTTCTCTTTCGAAGTTGAATTAAACGGAGTCTGATATGGTAATCTCTAGATATTGAGGCACCCGAAGCAGGTGAATTCGTGGCCATCAACACCATGGATTATTTCACAATTCCTGGTATGGAATCTCACTTCGATTGGTCGAAAGAGGGCGCTCGCCACCTGCCCAGAAATGCTGGGATCAGCCACGATGGCAAACGACTGGTCTTTCGGCATTACCAACCTGCGGAGGACTCTGGAGTCTATGTGTGTGAAGTGTACAGTCCCGCGGACTACTTTATTGCTGGGCGGCGGTATATCCTTGGCAGTGGTAAGTTTTAGTTGTATAGAAATGGCGCTTTAAATAACGTGCAGAAGTTAATTTTTTTGGTTAAACAACTAACGGATATTGTTAATAATTCTACGGAGACAGTTTGCAACCAAATTATGTCCAGGGCGGACGCCGGTACACTTCCCAAATTGTCAACTGTCAACGGTCGATTGTTAGTTTTGCGGTCCGCAGAGGTGAGCTTCATAGGGCAAACTGGGTCGAGGAAAACTTAGCCTACATTCTTAAGCCTCGTTCGCACTGGACTTAATTATTTGTTTAGAAGTTTACCACGACTGATTGTCATCATTCCGTTGTGGTTATTATACCGTGCATCCACACTTGGACTAATTTCAGCCTGCAAATGTCATTCGCTATTCATCCGCGACCCCAGTTGGTCCAGTAAAACCTACCTCTGCGGAACGTAACACTTAGGGCCTACAATCGACAGACGACACTTGACAATATGGGAAATCTGCTGGCTGTCTGCCCTGGACTTAATTTGGCAACAATCTAAGTAAAGTTAACTGCATGCAGTCTCCGTTAGTTTTACGGAAACAAATATCCAATACGAAAACGACATTATTTTAATCACAGATGACTTTCTGCAGTCCGAAATTAATCCAAGTGCGGACGCACGGTAGTATAACCACAATTAAATTTAACAATGTGAAGACCGGCGCTAACGCGGCTCATGGCCTATGATGTTTTCCAATGGTTGCATCTGATAAGTAGCCGTAACTGTTGATATATTATTCGAAAGCTCTGATGAGGTTTTGCCTGCATTTTGCTATCTTATCAGTTCCATACTTTTGTCAGCCCGATCCCATTGGTAGCCAGTCACAAGTACAGCCAGATATTTTGAAAGGCAAAGGCCTGTTAATTTTGAGGGGATGTCATTTCGCTTATAATACCTAGCCGACTGCTTAGAAACTAGCAAGAAAATGAATATTGATTGTGGGATTATAATTTTGCCTAGCTTTCGGAGTAACCAATAATCAAGACAGAACGCATCATGCCATTTTTCTTTTCTTTGTATCGTTATTTACATAAAATAAGACTATTTTAATTCAAATGCTTTCTGATCAAAGTTCTAACCACTTGCTTCGCCAGTGCTTAAAAGAACTAGTTAGATTCGTTTGTTTGCTTTAAGCTCTAATTGGACAGATTTGTTCACCCAAAAGCCCCGGATTAACATGTCCAAATGTCTGTATTGATGATGGCAAGTGCGCCACCCACATAGCTAGCTTTGCAAAGTATGCGTTTCCTTTTCGCGATATATTTTGTGACACGGATTACCAACGAATGCGATGTGCAACATTGTCAGTTTTCAGACATTTTGTCTTTAAGATAATCACGCAGGTGAAGTCAAATTAATGTTGAAAATAATGCACTCAACCGAAGATATTTTCCATACAATTACCAAATTTCCAGCCTCACACGCAACTACTGATCTGAGCGCTGAGGGGGAGTCAAAGATCGACGCACCTGATCAAAGCGGTAAGAAATTCCATTATTATGATTCTTATGTTGATTTCAAGTTAGATTGTGATAAATAGTTTGACGCGATTCGGAGTTTTCTCTGCGCTTCCGATTTTGTTGAGGTATGGTACACATTTTTATTAAGTAGGCCTACTGTTACAAAGAACAAAATAGGGCTGTAAGTGCATATAATCCAGTGACCTCTTGAACGTTGGATTGATTTTTAAACGTTTAAGCGTCGAGTACCTCCACGTGATTTTTTTTTTCTGAAAAGATGTTATCCGAACATGTTGGCCTTATGTAAAATGCAAAGATGTTGGCCTAACATGCCAAGATGTTGGCCCTATGTAAAATACAAAGCCTACATTGTTCCGATATTCAACACACGAAGAAGCAAGCCCAAGCTATTCATTTTCACATGAGAACTGTATTTAAATTAAATATAGTTTTATTCTCGTGGAGGGCAAAAAACATAATTCATTTTAATAATCCAAATGACAGAGCCTTTTGACACTTGACTGATTAGAATTAAAACGCACATGGACAGAATGGAGATGAAAAATAATTGGATTCCTCGTGAACTATCGAGTTTCGCATTCATTTAGGTTTACAATCCAATAATGTCGCAGAACTCCCAGTCTAGACACCAGCCTTGTCCAATAATTTACAACACCGCCCTCTGTGAACTTTGATAGAAAATGTTGTGTTCTCCCACTGTTTTCAAAAATAGGCAACAACGCCCTCTTGGAACAAGAAACGTCGCAGGAAATTTTTTCTTGGCTTCAGAATGAACCTGATTCGAACGTGGCACCTCTCGGCATCAGTGAAATGGTACACACCTTCAAGAATAATGGAGGTTGGTACAGAAAGGTTAGGGAAAAACGCCAAAAGGGACCGGCTGGGAAAAAATAGTTTGAGAATTTCAATTTATTCAGCTTGCGTACTAAGACCTTTCAGATTGTTAAAAGAAATCAAACACAGGAAATTTGGAATATATTTGGTTTGACGGAATCTGTTCAAAATGCCACCAAGTGAAACTTTATATTTCTCTCCCCTGATTAAAACAATGTGACTAACACCGAAGGAAGTGGTCTATATTTGATCACATATGGCCTGTGTGGAAATTTTTACTATTATAAGACCTTGGCTTGAAGAAGAATTTTTTACTCATTTGTCATCAAACTTAGTTGAATATTTGATTTTCACATCTGAGAAATAACGTGAACTGGGTACGACTCCAGATTTCCATCGTGTACCAATAGAGGTCACTATATTCGTCTCATAGTCTCACATTTTGACCGATTCATTCTTCTCACGTTTTTTTCGTTTCAGAGATCTACTATGTACTTCGCGAGAGTACCCAATATCTGGCATGCTTTCCAAGCAACATGGCGGCGGTTGACTTGACAACAATCAAACTCCGTTACGCATGGGGTCGGCCAACGGACAGTGACGTCATCACAACCTTTGACAATGGCCGATTTTTGACCGTCGATGGTGGCATCCTTGAAATCTCCGACGTGGGACCAAGGGATTCTGGGAGTTTAGAGTGCAATGTGACGTACCATGACGTCATCGGGCAGCCGAGAGTGAAGACCTATACCTACGGCATTGAAGGTATGACAGTAACATACTGTTCTCATTCATTTTCGCCTGAGATTGCCATTTTTTTTATTATAAATTGTTTATTTACCACTTTCAAAGATTATCGCTACGGTAAAAGGTGCAAAATCTTTTGTTTACAACTGACGCGGCGCAAGATACGGCCGACAAAAATATTGCTCATTACGAAACTTCAATTTGAAAAGTTCAGCTGTTTTTCATAAGGTGGAACTTTTGCGTTGGGGAGATATAAATCTTATGTCGAGTTTCAGCCTTCGCCGACTGTATGCTCAGTGTTTTCCGAGGGCTTGCGAGAACAAACTTTTTTGCATAACAGATAATCATAGGCTACCTGAATTTTTTGTTTATTTAAACTACTTGAAATACGTAAAGACATACGTATTAGACCTTTGAAATAAACCGTGTTATGTTTACAATAGAACACACTTATTGTTGGGGATCTCAGGAAGAAAGCGCTAAGTTGTTCTAAAAAGGGCATTTTAAGAGTTTTCTTCAAAGAAGTTAGCAGTGGCGCTAACCGATTGCCACGCTTAAAAAAAGAAAGACGTCCCTGGGTGGGCTCGAACCACCAACCTTTCGGTTAACAGCCGAACGCGCTAACCGATTGCGCCACAGAGACCGCGTGCTTGTATCCCCAAAACTGTGCTCAACTACCATAACAAAAACAGTGAATTAAAAAAACAACTACTTTAACTCATATAAAAAAACAAATATAAAGGGCAATAAAAAAAACACCATTTCTCCAACTTAGAGGTCCATGGGCACGGGTGATGGGCTTCGAGCCACCAACCTTTCAGTTAACAGCCGAATGCGATAGCCGATTGCGCCACAGAGACCGTTGAAAGTTGCTTTCGGTTACGTGAACAACTACTTGAGCTCATTTCATAAAACAAATGCATCTACCAAGGGAAAAATAACCTTTCACAGTCAGAAGGTTAGACGTCCCTGGGTGGGCTCGAACCACCAACCTTTCGCTAACCGATTGCGCCACAGAGACTGTGTATTGTGTTTTCGGCAACTAAACATGAAATCATTACAAAAACAATTATGTGAGCTTTAAAAAATCACGAGCGCAAAACTAAGGCGTCCCTGGGTGGGCTCGAACCACCAACCTTTCGGTTAACAGCCGAACGCGCTAACCGATTGCGCCACAGAGACCTGTGGATCCAAGCTTCAGCAATGCACACATATAGTATTACTCATTTCACAATGGACAATATTATAATGCATGACTGAAAGAATATTAAGGGTGTTGTATAGGACCCCTATATATCTATTTAGTTCTAAACCGGTTTTTATCGTTTCGAAAAGACTTACGTAACCCCAAGCAAATTTCCATGTTTTCAATGTTTTTTAGTACAATGTAGTATTTTGACATGATTTTCGTGCCCGCTTTTCTAGGTGGTTCAGCGCAGTTGTGTGCATTCACTTGAGCATCAGTGCATCACGCGTGAGCTGGCTCAATCGCCATCTTCATGTTCGTGTTGTGTTTTGACACCATTCCCGTTGCTTTTCAATTATTTTGCCGCGATATGAAGATGTGTCTAATAATATAAACTGGGATTTTCCTTCCCTTATTCTAGAACAAGCTATAGTGTACACTAGGACTATACTACCTAAATAATTTCATCTTTTAAAAACATACAAGCCGTAAAAAAATCCTGCAAATCTTTTTTTTTTGCCGTTTTCGGGTGAGTTCGAACCTTAAAGAGAGTAGTCATTGCTTTGTAACAATATTCAAGTCGTTTCTTGGGTGGGCTCTGATTGCACCGCAGAGACACACGATTTGTTCGTACAGGAAAATACAGAAGTACATGTAGCCTATTAAGCTAATCATATTTCGAAAAAAAACCTGTAAACATTGTCAGTTAATCCAAAAGCCGGTCTTTTGAACAGAGACTTCTTCGCGTCGTGTATATACGAATTCCCCTATTAAGCAATATAAACCTAAATATTGGGTGGCGCTGGAAATGGTTCAACTTACTTACGGAAAAGTTGCACACTGTCTGCACTGAGTCGTTTGCCCGTAAAACTTGTTAACACCCAACGCCTCATTATATTCATTTAGCATCTACATATTTAGAATATAAATACGCATATGCCTTTGAAATTACAAACGATACCCCCCAATTATTTTTTTAAGAAACCCAAAAGAAAAAACCCCAAGATATTTATACAAAGATAGGATCTACGGAGAGGTTGACTGGTTAAGGGTATGTCTTCGCCTCGGTAAACCATGGTTCATAATCCTATTATTGTTTACCAAGTGCATTTTGTAATGTGTTTTCCCTGCCAGACAGCGCGAGTTTGCGAATACAAAACTATTTCTTCTCTAAACCTGGTACTTTCTTCATGGGCCAATTTTTTTTCTCTCCAAAGATTCCTTCTACGTTGATCGAAGAGTTACCGCCACAACCTTTCCACTCTCGGAAATAATCAAATTAACTTAATCAACCAAAACACTTTTCGGTGTTTCGGACGCCTTTTTATTCCATTTTATTTACTTTTGAAAAGAATCTTGTTTCAGATGTGTGCTTTGTTGCCTGCAAACAGTCTCACTTGTCTTGACAACATGAAACTTTCCAAAAAACACCTGAACTATACTGGACAGCAATTTCTGAAAACGCAGTCAATAGAATGTTATTTTTTCCCGTAATTTACCTTGGTCTTAGTGTATACCCTACCGGACTTTGTGTACTCCGTATCGGCCGCCTATACCTCCGAGGACTGTGACTCGCCTCAGCGGAGCGCGGTCTTCAAGCAACTGCTGGGAACCCATCTCCAAGCGTCGGTCATCGCAGACGATACTTCCTACGAGATCACGGACTTCGTGGCAAGTTGCAACAATTCGCTGCGCCTCCCTACCGTGGGAGTTGGCGTTGGATCGGTACAGGGTGGCAGGGTGAACCTGATACGCTTCGATGTGGTGGTCAGACAAACGATGGTGACCCAATGCAGCATGCAGTGTATGGTTGGCGAAATGGACACAAAGACCAGGCTGGTAAGGTTTTCTGTGCTAATTTTCTCAGATTTTTAAAAACATAAATGGGGAAAATAAGTAAATGATTTCAATGCACGTGGCCTATTACTGACTCTAGAAATATATCAATATCAAAAATGTTATTCTTTAAAAGTGTATGACGCAAAACTACCCCAAATGTGTCATGACATGTAAATGACATGAAATGTTTGTCGTACATAAAACCCGTCAATTTGCTGAAACCTCTGGAAACCTAAAAATGGACCCTTTTGTATTTTACTCTGTACACCAACAAACTACTTTGATGCGCGCAACTGTGCTTCCCAACTTTTTCAGTAATGTAAACTGCTTAGAAACGAGTAAAAAAATGCCACTTTTCCCATTTTGTCTTAAAAATTAATGAAAACGTGTTGGATTCTATTTTTTATTCGTTTCTTCTGATGTACATAATGGTTCATTCTCCGCGAAAGTGCTCACATTTGGTTCCAGAAATGATGAAATAGCAATAAACAATTCGAGAACTCTTTCAGAAATGCAAACTCAAATACTTTCAGAACACGGAACATTTCGGCGATGGTCTTTAACGACGTCAGATTTTCTACAGAAATCCTTTAAACCTATAAGGCGTTGAAACCATCTGTTAAGAACGAACAGATACGTTATCTCATTTTCAATTTCAGGAAAGTTGAATATCTCAAACAGGATCTCATATTTCAAGTTCTATGAAACTTAGAAGTAATTTTGATGACATGCAGACCATGTAGAAAAATCTAGAAAAATAGCCCGGTCGGGCGGCCATTTTTGAGGGGAAAAATGGGCCTCCCGCTTCCTTTTTTTCATAAAGGCAGGATGCTAAACATTTTTCTTTATCTGTCCTTATCTCTCTTTTAACTTGGTTAGTATGGTTATGACACCGTATACTGTAGCTACTAGAAGCAGACATATCAGGACAAATAATGACACGCAATACTTACAGCTGACAAAAGTTACCATCAAAAGCGTTAAAGTGGTATCAAGCCTAATTTCCTCATTTTTTATACTTTATTTTTAGGATATGGAACTATTGGAATGGATCAGTTATCCATGATATGAAAGCATGTGTAATGAATGAGATACTTTGCACAAAGCGCACCCCCGACGACATGGGAAAATAACAAGAAACGCAACATAACCATTTTCTTCACAGGTTTCAGAGCCAATAACACAGCCGAACACGGGGTACGAATTTGAGCCAAACAGTCATCTTTTCAATATATTTCCCTTTTAAAAGGAAACAAAAGTTAACAAGGCCGTTTGATCAGCCCTCTAAACAAAAACAAATTCGTTCCTGGGTGGGCTCGAACCACCAAGCTTTCGGTTAACAGCCGAACGCACTAACCGATTGCGCCACAGAGACCGTGTGCCTGTGTCTCCGGCAATGTGCTTAACTTCATGTATATTAACTCATCACAAAAACAGTGGGTCAAAAAGAAAAACCGCTTCCAAAGAAAGACGTCCCTGGGTGGGCTCGAACCACCAACCTTTCGGTTAACAGCCGAACGCGCTAACCGATTGCGCCACAGAGACCTGTACCAGAGGTCTTCAGTAATGTGTACCGAACTTATTTCGTAAAACAAATATGGGTTAAAGTCTACCCCTGCAGAAGTTCAGAGGACACTTTTTAAAGACATTAACGTTAAAAAAACCTTCTAGATAGGCTCTCAAAACAAAACAACCGTCCCTTGGTGGGCTCGAACCACCGACCTTTCGGTTGACAGCCGAACGTACTAACCGATTTGTTCGGTTACTAAACTCATTCAAATGATAAAACAGCTCCCTTGCTGCCACATGTTCCACTTGAATATCAATTTTGAGGCATACCGTTCGGTTCACAGCTAATCCTACACCAAACAGATTAGGCTACGCCACAGACACAAATTAAAAATCCAGCTCTTCCAACAAAGTTTTTTTTTCTCGACAGCCCTCATTGCTTTTGTACACGTGTTTGCATAGGCGTTGCCAGGATTTTTTTCCGGGGGGGGGGGGACAAAGCAAATTTCCCCCCAAATTCCTTAACTTTTTTCATTATATTCTCAATTGATCATTTTTCCGAGCGTGAGCAGGGGAACGTTTGCCCTACCCCCCCCCCATCAAATTAACAGCAATATGGCTTCGCACCTCTTTTTCCTTTTTCCCCCCTTTTTTTTTGGGGGGGGGAGGGCCCCCTTGCCCCCCTCCCCCCCCCCCCCCCTCGCGAAGCCCATGCGTGTTTGCAAGAAAGAATAAACTCCAAAGTGGTTCATGATCTCGATTGAAAAGGGGGGTTTCTTGTATATACAACCGGCGATTCAAATATTTAAGAAGGAAATGGCTGAGTTGTCGCAGTCCGGGATATCTTCAGGGGTCGGCTAAGATGATGGAGCTGTGTTGAGGTCGTAGCTCTATGGTTGAGGTCTACACGCGCAGACAAAAGACCTTACGCAAAGTACCGTCGCGAGGGTTGCAAAATGGAGACGGAGAAATAGAAAAAGCAAATTTAGGATTTGTTTTCAGTGACATGTATAGACCTAGCAACTGACATTGGTCAGAAAGGAGGAGGGATGTAAGCCAACACATATACCCATATATAAAATAAGAATAAACGAATTTCGTTCGTTTTTCTATGTAGATTGGGATGAAGTTGGGTGCATTCTTCAGTCGGGAGCTGGAAGAACAGTATGGCTACCACCCTTCCCGTCTGATTCCCAACTCGCTGCAGTTTGATTTGAAGTATCGCTGTGATCAGGGCTATGGGCTGCAGGCGTCCATTTGTGGTGAGTCGGCTATGTTCGAATGGTGATATCTTAGATGCGACTGCATGTATGCCCTAGATCTTAAGAAATGGACCTTTGTCTAAGTAGGATAATGAAGGAACAGGAACAGAACATTTCTGAAACCTTATAGCTTACGATATAAACCTCGAAGCCTTATGTCTGTAAGTAGTTTTACCAAACTTCGATGCTCCATTTCTCAATTCCCTAAAAATGATAAATACATTACAAAAGGAAGAAAACGGGAAAAAAAGCACACTGCGTCCCTGGATGGAGGAGAACCACTGCAAACCAATTTCCGGACCACTATGTTCAACCGAACGCAAGTGAACAATAAACAACTAATGAATTTATTCAATTCGCAAAACAAACAAGTCCTTTCCGCAAAATGTAAAACATCAACGTCCCTGGGTGGGCTGGAACCTGTAACCTTTCGGTTAACAGCCGAACGCGCTACCCATTGAACCGCATGCAGAGACCCTTAAATGTCAGTTCTAATTCAGTGTAAAACAACTGGTACTCATTTCATAAAACAAATTTTATGGTAAAAAAGTAATCGCTGGGTGCAAAAATGTACGACGTCCCTGGGTGGACTCGAACCACCAACCTTTTGGTTAACAGCCGAACGCGCTAACCGATTGCGCCACAGAGACCCGTAAAAATTCCCTTCAGTAAAGAACTCAACTACTTTAGCTTATATCAAAATAGCATTAAGGATAAACACTGCAAAAGCAACAGAATTGACGTCCCTGGGTGGGCTCGAACCACCAACCTTTCGGTTAACAGCCGAACGCGCTAACCGATTGCGCCACAGAGACCCGTGAATGTCGTTCAGTGCAAAACACCTTGAACTCATGTCACCAAACAAAATCATGGTTAAAAAAAACAACAAAAAAACGCACGCGTGGATAAGGTTTAAAGGGTCCCTGGGTGGGCTCGAACCACAATCCTCTCGGTTGATGGCGCTCCTTAGACCAACCTATTCATTTTCCTGTATCATATCCTCATACGGTTAAAATGTACTTATTTAAATTCAATTTTTTTTTAAATTGTATGTAATCATTTGAAAAGCTGTGACCATTTTATTGTCAGTTGTCATGTTTCCGCACATAACTATAGTAAATTTCTTTCAAAAGCGTTTAATATTTCAAGAAAAAATCATGCTTGCCGCAATTTGTAAGTCTGTACACAAGTTACCAATTTTTGTACTTCTCAGTTGCTTGTCCACCCGGATCCTACAGCCAACAAGGTAACACCGAGTGCATCCAATGTCCAATGAGCAGTTACCAGCCATCGTACGGTGCGGTAGATTGCGTTCAATGCCCGACCCATGAATACACCTTCTGGTCTGGAGCCATCTCAATGGATCAGTGTCAAGGTAAGTTTGTTTATCCATTTCTGAAATACGTGCGTCCATTTCGTAAATGGTACGTAAATACATAGGCTCCGCTGAGGTTCTAATAACACAACGCATACCACTCCAAATGAAGGACTTGCATGTATGTGAAGATGTACTTGCTGTGCAGGGGTGCATACCTATGTTCCCCAATACCGATGTTCCCCGAAATCCCTACCCTATAACGCTAACCCCAACCCTAGCCCTAACCCTAACCTTAACCCTAACCCTAACCCTAACCCTAACCCTAACCCTAACCCTAACCCTAACCCCAACCCTAACCCTAACCCTAACCCTAACCCTAACCCTAACCCTAAACGTAAGGTTTTCGGGGAACATCGGTAGTGGGGAACATCGGTATTGGGGAACATCGGGTAGACCCCCTGTGCAGCCATATACTCGAGTTTCACCCCGAAAAAAATCACAGTTTTAAAATTGTAATTTATGCTAGTCATACAAAAGTTATTCGCTTTCAATGCTCTAAGGAAATTGCAGATGATATTATTCATTAAACCTGTTATCGTGAACTTGTTTTAATTAGGCCTATGTTTTGGGATCACTTCGTGGCAACAGGTTTTTGTAGGTAAAAGGCTCTTCATTGATCTTTTTTTTTGCAATTCGTCAACAGTGACGACTGTCATTGCGTGGATAATGCTTGGGGCGTTCGGAATGATGGCATTATCTGGTGTGATAGTGTCTTGTGTACTATACGGGTAGGTGTCTATACTGTAACATAATTAATTGCTTTAGTTTGTGATTTATCTACCTCTATGTAACTTCATTTTAATGGTACATGTGCCTGTATGGGGGGGGGGGATTAAAGAAAATGTTGAGGGTAAAATATCGCAGTTGGTTGATGCATCATAATTGCAAGTTTGCTGATCGTCATTAGGCGTTTTATGATGTAACGCATGTCATCTTCATTGACGTGAATGTTGTACGATGGAAGAAACATTTGGGATGAGCGTTCACTTGTCCATTTAGATATGAATCCTTACGACTAAATACAACATGTTTGCTATATACCTGACCATGACTTGAGCATTCCCAAGCCTACAAATGTTGTCTATGTTTGTACCATTGGATATATCGCATCCAATGATATGAAGCCGGATTACTATATAGACTGGAAAACTAAAAAAGAAAGAAAAGAAATGTGCTAACATTTACATAAACCAGTGTTTCAGGTCACGATCAGATTAAACACAAGGCTTACGGACTCGTAGTATCGATTTAAGAGGAGTCAAAATCTAACGAGTTAGTAGAAGTAGGATTTTGATCCATGCCACCAAAGACGATGGTGAAAGAAGGCACTGTGCACCAAGATCACTTCTTCAGTCTCACTATTTTCCTTCATTGTTTTGACAGATATAGGATGCGCCATCAAAAAGCAGCGACTGAAGACGCTCCTGTGACTCTGCCCAAAACTGACATCGCCTCTAAGAAACCATCCCGCAAGACGGTCAAGTCAAAGAAACATTTATCAAGATCTGATATCTCTAGCTCTGCGCACCACGGTGAATTGGAAGTATTACTTGAATCCAGCGATGACGACGACACAAATGTCAATGATGAAGGCCTACAATCACATGTAGCACCAGTTTCATATCAGACTGGTAGTCAGGAAGAATCGAATATTTACCACTACAGGAGTCAGGAAACAAGACGAGGACTTCAAGCTCAGGATCGCACTAACTACGAACATCGGGAGGAGGACATCGGTCTGTACCATTCAGTGCAGAAAGGTGATATTAATGCGTCCGATGGTAGAACGAACCAGGAGACCATAAACTCCTACCTTCCAGACAATGAAGTACTTGATCATCAGCAGCAAAGAGATCCTCTTGATCAACTATCCCGTTCGCAAATGGTCAATGAACTGGGGCCAAATGAACAGCACCGTTTATCGCGTCCATCTCTTCATTATTCAAATAGGGATGATACATACAGAGGAATTGTGATATCTCAACTAAAGTCACCTTCAAAGGTGTATTCTGGAATGGCCTCCTACGAACCACCTCCTCAAGCTCACGTAACTTTCCCGTCGCATCAAGCATTCATACCAGATGCCCAAGAAGCTCAGCTTACTCCTAAACTTTCCTCTCAGATAGGAAATCTCATATCTCCACTTCAACCTCAAGGTTCATCCCCATCAGACCGGCATGTCCCACTCCAAGAGGACAGCTTCCAGTCGAAGAGACACCTATCACCAAGTTTTCATGATCATCTTGATAACAGCTTCTCACCATCATACACACAAAGACAAACCCTCGTGGCAAGCCCTTCTCAAATCTCCAGTGCAAGTAGCACTTCACTACCCATAGGGAGAGAATTATCATTTAGTTCTGCCGGTCCAAGTACTCCCTTGAGCAGCCGTCCAAGCAGCAGGTCTGACCTTATAGGGTCTCCTGTTGTTCCTGTTGATCTCTCTGATGAGACTGACTCCGAGATCGAAATTGGAAGCTTCATTGTTGAGGGAGATAATCTGCAACCGAGCGAAGAGACTCGTCGATCTTCATTTATTTCAAAACCACATATATCCCCAAGAAGAAACTCCGTTGCAGCACTGATCGCATCTTACCAGTCCTTGTCTCGAAGTGGTCCAACAACTACAGCTCCACAAGTCAATCAAATTTTAGATCAATCTAGCTTCGAAAGCACAACCACCCATTCAACTAAAACGTCAGCATTCTCAATGAAGGGAAAACCTTCAAACGCAACGGTGCCTCCTGGAAGTCCTCCCCTGTTTCCAAGAACATTCTCTAGAGAAAAGAGTATGCCGATCATTTTTAGCGACAGAGCTCCATCAGATTTTCTAGCAAGGCAATCCCCTCCAAGGAGTCCGCAAAAAGATCAATCTAGAACTTTGACTCCGTCTATTTCACCTGTTAAGGCCGTTACGCCTGTTATAAGCCCTCCAAGGTCTTCGGGAGCCGTTACAGGAGATGTTCAGCAGACGCCCAGTCGAACAGCAACATTAACTCAGGATGAGCTCGGTATCCCTCCATTCTCCTTGCCAATAACACCGCAAGAGGCCTTGAGTCCTAGTCGCTCAAAAGGTTTTACTCCTTCTTTAGCCTTCTCCGAGAACAGTGGGCACACTCCTCCAGTAACTCCATCAGTTCAATCCTCTCAGGTATCCCCAAAGGAGTCGCTAATGACACGGAGGTCATCACTCATGACGAGTCCAGCAGGTAGACCAGCTAATCCTTTCCAACTGCAGCGACTCAGACGACAATCTCTGGCAGGGCAAAAGTCGTCACATCTCACCGCCACATTAACATCAACGCCTCACCTTGAAACCGCATCAGCAGACGGAGGGGTTTCTCCTCCGGCACAGAATGAGGCCATCCTCGCACCTCCGTCATTTCCTTCCATTCCAGTCTTCCCTACAGTGGCCTCTTCACTCCATATGGACACGCCTTCTGCAGTACCGCCTAGTGTTGTACCTCCAGCTGTTACCACTCCTACTTCTACCACCCCACCCCTAAATGTGGCCCCTCCTGCAATTGTAGCGCATCCTTCCGCTCCAGCTCTTCCTGATACACCATCGACCTTTGCTCCACCCCCTCCACCAACGGGACCTTTTCCTCCGGCCTCGACTCCTCCACATTCCATCTCAGCTCATCCCAGTCTGGTTACTAGACCTAGCGTGTCGGTAAGCATCCCTATCAATATAAATGACACTGCCCCTGTTGGTGAACCTCCTCCCCTTCCCCAAGGGGTCCCCCCTCCCCCTCCACCTTTGGCAGGACATTCTCAGTGAAAACGCCTCCTTCCGTGGCCCCACACACCACTGCCCCAGCGAGGCAGTCAAGTGCACCTCACCCTGTTGCGGCACTGATGAACCAGGCTTTTACCGGCAGGAAAGGTTCAAAGTTCCTGGCTTCAGAATCGGAAGAATCTAGGGTAACCATCCCTGGCAGTACGCCATCGGTAGCGTCACAGGGAAGTGTCCTAGCGCCGCCTGGTGGAAACATACCTGCTCCACCCCCTCCTCCACCACCACCTCCATTGCTTGAAGACTAAAATGTAATTTAAATAAGTCAATTAAAAAACGAGATCATTTAATAGTTTCATATCCAGCTTGAAGAAAGGTTACTGATCAACATTGCTGATCAACATTGTAATTTTTGTAGAAGCGAATTGTGACCGCTTTTATTGCGTTATTATTTCAATGTAGAAGATTTTAATGGCTCGCTCATCGGACATTGGACAACATAATGATATATATTGCTGTGCATGGCTGAAAGTCGAATAATCGCCAGGGCTTCTCAAATATTGCGAATATTATTTTTTTTCTTTCATTAGTAATAAAAAAGCAGTGCCCAAGAGTAAAATTGTTTGGGTATTGAAATTTTTTTCTCTAAAACAATAACTCCTAAAAAGTTTTACAACTCCCAAACATTTTACGAATCCAAACTCTAAAGTATAAAGAACGTATCCTCACTGCAAGCAGTGAGCTTAGTTCTCAAATTTCATTTTCACTTGTTGGTCTTTTAATGAATTGTTTTCATAATGAATTCTAGTTTTTCATTTTACTTTTATAGGTTTTTTTTACTACGTTGTGAAACAAACAAATGCGCTAGGTTTATAAAACGGTCATTCCCCAAAACGGCCTTAGATATATGCATTATACTTCAGGCCAAAAAAATAGTCTTCGGTTACTGGTTTGGAGCTTGCCCCAAAAGTGATGCGGCGACGCGGCTTTTTTTTTTTTTTTTTACTTGTTTTTTTCTTCAAATGTCGGCTGATGACTGCGAATGGTGCCCCACCATGTGACCGACTAAATTTAGTGCAAAATGTATGGGAACCCAGAGAGGCCACTTTTACCCGAGAGAGCTTTTACCCAATTGTAAACCCATCTAAAAAAAACACGTTAAAATTGTGCAGCAGCAGGATTCCAGTCAAACCAGTGAGTTTTTGCGGTTTTGAGACATCATCTTATTACATTAAAAAAAAAGAAGACTTCTTAATTTTGCCGACGCGCATGGCTACGGCGACGCGCGCGCAGACCAGAAACCGGAGCCCATTTTTTGGTCTTAGTGTAAATTTACGAGATAATTATAGTGCTTGATTGCAATTTTGTCGCTCTAAAACACTCATACCTTCATGATCTACAGATAGGCAATATTATTAGTGTGAAATAGTTGAACGGTCAATATATAGAGGTGGTCTGTTGGCCTCATGAAGTGTTTCTCAGACCGATTCGGTCTGTCAGTATAACAGAGCGGAAACATCAAACGACACCTGGGCTGTCGGGCAACCTGTCCCCGTGTGTGGTGAAGATGTAAATCTTGAAACATTCGAAGACAGAATAAAAAAAAGAACACTCCGAACAAGTCCTTGAATGCGTCGGCCGTTACTGCGCCGTCATGATGTGCGTTTTAACGGCTAGTTGCAGCCGGTTTCAATATGTCACGTACGTGCCTCTTTGGAATGTTATTTACTTGAGTGAGTCGCGATGAGGGTTGTATGATGTGACGCAAGTGTTTAGGTGGTTATAGAGTGTCTGATGAATGTTGTAATCCGTTTACAGTATGTACGAAAAGGACTTCAGAAAGAAAGTTCCCAAGACATGTCTCGCATCCGGAAAATGGAGCAATTTAGATGTGACTAAACATCAATTGCATTTCAGCTGTCTTTAAGGTGCGCGCCTTTTTGCCTCAGGTTACAGACCAGTAAATAAACTGCCATAGACCTTAGTGATAATTACGCCAACTTCCAAATATTATTAAAAAATACTCTCTAAGGTGTTTGAAACACACATCAAATCAAAGCTTATTTCATCATATTTCATTTTCTGTTATTTTTTGGGGGTTAATTATTACTTATGGGAGAAAGATGATTACCCTTCAAAGTAGTCCGGAAACACCCCCCCCCCCCAAAAAAAAAAAAGGATGCCTACGCTCCTTTGCAAACTAGAGCAATTTTAGGGCCCAACTTCATCCAAGTTTCGCAGAAATACAAACTCGCAATCCTCTGCACGGCTTTCGCCCTTTTTTAAAATTTGTTTTTACGAATCCTCAAGTTCATGGCCCCCAAAATGCTCTAATACCGGAGAGTTTGAGGGCATACGAATCGTACGGCGTTGGCAATTTCGGGCCTATGTACTGGCATGCACCCCTCTGGATGCGCATGTGTAGTCCTAGTCCCTTGTGCATTAATTGTGACCTTCAAAGATGCTGCTGAATACACTGCTAAGAGTATATAAAAAATAAAAGTGATGCTCCATTCAATCTCAAGTTAGTCATGTCAAATTACAAGTCAGGTCAAAACAAGGGAAGGACGATGACATATGAATGTCTTTGTCACGGTTCATTTGATTTGATGAATGGATGACTTGCGATGGACTTATCAATTGCAAATGTGACTTGTTGTGACAGGAAAGGCCTAGGCTACAGCTCCGAAAGAAATGTCAAAAAAAAAGGTTTAATAATGATGAGCTCGCCATTTAAATATATTGGCAAATTTACATTGGAGGGGCAGTATATACTGCTGTTTATATAAAAGACGACTACACGTAAGATTTTAGTTAAAAAGCCGGATGGGGCAAGGTCATTTTCAAGCAATTTGGGAGAAGTTTGTGGATATAGAACAAGTGAAGTGCCCCTTTAAGATCCAGAGTTATAACCATGACGTTTAGGACATTATGCACCGACCATCATTACTGCTTAAGTCTGAAGACTATCGCTCCCTATTTCTCATTCGGAGTGTTAGCTATTTACCTAAGTCCTAACCTTAATACCTAGGGTTTTCTTGTTGTTGTTGGCAATGAGGCATGATGAAAGCTCAACCTTTGGACTCTGGGAAACATCATATTTTATCCGAAAATACATACTGGGCCCTATTTCATGGCATTACTAACCAAAATTCCGCGCTTACGATCACCATTTTGTGCTAACCGCGCTAGCAGAAACTTTCTGTACTAACCCTGTAAGCACAGAATCCTTAGTTACGGATGTACGCTTGCACAGAAGCCAAAAATCCTTACTAATCCGCGAAATATGCTTACCGTAAGCACGGAATCTTCTGCTATAGTAAAGCAGGATTTTTTTGCTAACAGTAAGCAGAGCCATGAAACTGGGCCCTGGACTGTCCGGTGAGATAAATGGCCTTTTTGGATAACATATGTTTATTTGTTCCCTGATCCAACCCACCAATATAGGCTAGGCCAACAATGACAATGCTAAACATGGAATTTGACCAATATCAACCAGGTGCACGAAATACGCAGAGGTTGTTGAAATGTTGGAGATTTTTTTGTATGCCCGGTTTTCTATTTTCAATTTATTGCCCAATGTTCACCTCTCCTCTCTCGCTCTCTTTCCAACATCACAGACGAACACGAGAGAAGTTTTTGAAAGTCGTCAATATCGTGGTCTTCTCAGGCGCGAACCATCGGCCCAGAAGTATTCATTTCCCTCGCGTATACAGCATCTAAAGCACCGTAAAATAATACTAAATTGAAGAATAAACACTTCTGAAAGCACTGAGACTGTGAGTAAAGCAAAATGCCAAAACGAGTTGTACTAAAAGAGAGTTTCAATCTATTCTGTATAGCAAGTACCGTTTTACGAGAAGCATGTGGCGGTACTCGGGCTGAAACACTGCCGTGTCGAGTGTCGGAGGGACCCATCGTAAACACCGCAACGAGCGAGCTTGCCCGTGGTATATGAGCCATAATATTGTGCTATCGTTTCAGTTTAGGGGCGATTTTTTGAGGGCGTTTCCCTCAAAGTGCACTTTTGCCTTGTTAGTCAGTTTAAACACAGCTACTTACTCGCATTTACCCGTTCTTTAACACAGAAAATTGACCCTTGTTAAGCTCATGTTTCCCCGATATTTGATAATTTATAATGATGTATGAATATTGCTAGGCCAGTATTATATTTCGTCTTTGGAGGATTGATCGCATGTTGAAAGGCATTTTTAAATGTTGATTGTCAATCTGCATGGGTTAAAACTCCACCTTACTGGAAAACTCGTTGATTGTACCATCCTTACTTTTTTCTTCAAAACAATGTACTGGTACTTTAAATATTCTGGTGTGCAGCCACACTCAACGAAGCCTAAACTCGAAAGGCGAATTGTGCATAATAGGTAAAAGATTCATCGTGCAAAAAGCAACAAAATGGACAGGCAACCCTGCCTAGTATAATGAAATGAATGATGTTTAGGATTCACTGACATTGTAATAACCTTATAGAAGCGCTAAAACTAGTGTAAAGCGTGAAGTTTAATGTCAGTCGTTTTAGAGTAAAAGTGAATCGTATCGAATCATCCACTGATCTGAATATTCAAATTAGGCAGGTGATGTGTGTGTGTGTCCCAACCCATACCGTGCCCGGTGTGGTGTCGTCTGTACTTTGTGTCCGTGCGCGAGATCATAAAGTTGCGCCAAACGACGGCCGTTAACCGCCCGTCGACACCTTGACAATACGATCGGCTGCCAAAGACTACCACGAGACAATCCTACGCTGAAACCTCGAGGACCATTGGCCAACTCAACTGGACCTCAATCTGACCTGATTTCGGAAAAAAATCCCTCAAGCTAATGCACAAACTTATTTCCCCCTGACATAACATTGCGTCATTTTTATTTCGTACGTAAAGTTTTTGGGAATTAGAGGTTTCCATTATCCGATGTAAGTTATATACGTCAATAGACGTGCCATCTTCCAGAACAAGTGAACTGAGTCCCCGTCGGGTTAGCAATTATTCAGTTGCACCTAAGCTTGCTTCTCCCACATGTTTTATGATCTATTTTGCAACTCTTCAACGAGGACAACACCATCAAGCGATTTAGCAATGGAAAACGGCCCACAGACTTTCGGTGGTAAGCCGTGCGCCCTGGCCTCGCCAAGCTGTTCGGTAAGTTACACCACAGCCCGGGCGGCTACTGGCACCGGATTCATGCAGGTACCGGCACCGGCCGTGGAGCGTGGGCCGTCTACCCCAACCTCCCACCTCCACCATCCATCTGCACCGGGGCCCGGGGGCTTTGCCTACGTCAATACCCGGGCCGATTGCCGCTTCGTTCAACCGGGAGCTGCGTCCGCTTCGTCTTCTTACGACGAACAGTACAAGAGTTACCGGTCGGCTTCGGCACTCTCCTTCAACAGCATGGAGCTCTCGACGGGCCACGAGGCCGGCCATCATCGGATGGACTTTGGTGGGCCGATGCGGTACTCGGGCTCCATGGGTGGTGCTACTGCGGCAGCCGTTATGTACGGTGCAGCTAGTAATCATCAGGCTACACAGCAGCATCTCTCGTGTCTCAACTACCCAAGCTGTGCTAATCCCGCCGGTTATCCCTTTGGTATCTCCGGTAAGCTAATTCATTAACTGATTACAAATTGAAAGATTTTACAGAGATTTCCCCCCTCAGTATATTAGTTCAAGTTTTAACTGACAGATTTCTGTCCGACCAACCTAGTGAACATACATGTATAAGTTAATGTCCGAAATGTTCGTCCTTGTTGGTCTTTCTCAAATGCCCCTTCATATATAATAGATACAGATACATTATGGTTACTTATGACCTTGAATATGTATAAAAAGAATTTGTCGTACGTTTTATCGCCTCTACAAAAAGGAAATTTGTATAGAATTTTGTGAATTTGTGTTCGAGGAATCAAGTTTTAAGTTGTCTTATATTCACAAGAGCAAGGCTAATTGTTTTAAACCCAAAACCGTTCTTCAACACAATACAAATATAGATGTGTCTATTCCTGAGGTCATTTGACAACCTGTGGTCTTAAAACTTTGGATAAAAAGTATATTGATTCATTCATGACTTGTTTTTCTCTTAGCAGAAGAAAAGTAGAAAGTCAAAAAACCCATAAGATATTTTAATTTTGCATAATGAAAAAAAAAGTTTAGTGTGACACGGTATATAGGCCTAAAAACTTAAGTTGTGTGGTAAAAATGGTCATCCAAAATTAACAGATAAATGGAAAATATGCTGTACCATTCTTGAATGTCCGAGAAGAAAACTGTTTAATCTAAGCTTGTGAATGGATTTTTTTCGCGATAGACCAGAACAGTATTGTCACGTTTGATGTGTCACACTCTATTTTCAAAATCGTTTCCTGAAGAAAATTAGTGGTACCAATGTCAGAGGGAAAATTAATAATGCCAGTCTCATCTACCATAGCATCAATCGGGCAATAGAATTACAAATGTTTCTTGCGATTCATATAAGCCTATTCAAATCTTCTTACTACCTAGGCCTAGTTAATGAAATCTAACCAAAGCAAAGAGAATCAATAGGGCCTAATAGATTGAACAAAGAAATTGTCTCGAACCTCCGGAAAAGTGCTCTTCAACAAATTCAATTTCTTTATATTAAAAATGGTTTAACTTGTGTTTTATTCCAACCTCCCCACCTCCCCACCTTTTTATTGGAAGTCTGCAAACCTCCGAAAAGTGTTTTTGTTTTGGGCACAAACAGATCCGCTTTGTAAGCAGACTGGCTCCCGGTCCGTACAATACTGATTGTGGGACGGGAACCAGCCTTCCCCGCGAGAACAGGAATGATTGTCTGGCAGCCAATAATTCGAAATTGTAAATTAATAATTCAGTAACTATAAACATGGGCCAATTTGTTCGGTCTATATCTCATTCTAGAAAAAAATAGCAATTTAGAAAATGAATCTATTTTTCGGGATGAAACGTTTGGGATGAACTGATTCAGTTTTTCCTTGTTGTTGTATTGATGGAAAAACTCAAGGAATGAAAAGTAAGGTTTGCTCAGTGAAACCTACAGCGTAAGAATGTAAGATTTTATATCGGATTGTCGTCTTTGGCTGAATAGTCTCGTTCTGGTAGCTACTGAGGCAAACTCTAGCTTTCAAGGCTGGGACCTGTATCAAAAAAGGGTTCCTCAACTATTTGAAATGCCCCAATGAACAATTTTGTTGAAGCATATTTAGTAAAAGAAGACGAAGAAAAGACGAGGATAACGCAGTGTTTTTGCTTGACACGTGGGTTTGTGATCTGTTTTGGGGCAAACTCCTCATAAGTACTGAATCATAAGTACAACCCAACACAACTTGTATGAAATTAATAGACCAATAGACCATAAAGTATAGCTGTTTTAAACATAGGTCTAATGATAAAACGGGGAACTCTTTTTCTGAATATTTTTCCAGGAGATTTGAAAAAGGAACTATATTTCTCCAAGTGTTCGATTCCTAGTGAAAATCCCTAGTTTCGCTAATGTCGCCCATTGTTATCGGAATATAACTTCCTAAAATTAAATATGAATTTAATTATCTGTTATTCTTGATTCGCGCGGTTTTTTTTCAGTATATAACACTCGTCTGCTGTCATGCCGGCGCAGATAATTTAGACTTTGAAGAACATATTGGACGGGCTTTAAAACGAGCTGATTTAATTTCTCTGAGAGGGTATGCGAAATGGAAAATGAAACGGAAGCAACCTTGTCATAACATACGCGTGCTTTATATATCACTCATTGTATAAGAGTTTGAAATACATAATTTTCTCAGTTTTGACATGAGAAAGGATATGGTAGTCGGTTAAAGTTGATGATTATTGTCACTGTTACATTTCGTTTCACTGAGACTGTTATTGCAGTGTATTTGCAGTATACATCAACTTTACATAAAAAATTGAGGGAGAAAAACGGATCTTAATTTCACAGGACATAAAAAACCGTGTTATTTATCATTCAGGTCAGACAAACATACCCAACCAGTAGGCTTGTCGGTTACCGATCATAAGCTGTTAATAATATTCTTTGCAAATGTTTTCAAATCTTTTCTTTTAACCAGAGCCATTCCCAGCTCAGTTTGGTCAATGCAAAATTTATTACAAGTACATACATGTTGATTTTTAAATATTTATATCGAAACGAATCCAACACGATGCAAGCAGTAATAAGAAACAAAAGTAGTTGTATATAATTGCATGATTTTTATTGTATTTGGCTTCACAGTTTCTCGTTTTCTTTTTTGTGTTCGGCATACACAATTCCTTGTCATAGGTGTACTCGTTTACAGAAATTACATTCAAACAAGTTATAACTCATTCAACTCACGCAGGGGGAAGACGTAGTACAGAGAGGAAGATAATGCGATCCGAATAATAAAGTTAGAAATCATTTGAACCACAAGTTCGACAATGTTGTAATGTAAAGAAAACAATGTGGCACAAAATGTACTGCAAATGGAATTGTAGCCAATAAGCGGAAAAAAAAGGATTTGACTTTCGTAATATATTATTTCCGGAACCCTTAAAATTGGTTTCATCATTCACTGTCAAAATATTGGGCAAATAATTCGTTGGGCGAAATATAAACAACGCAATATGTACATATGTACAGGCAATGTTGCCCAATAGTTGAACGTGTTAACTATTCGCCCATCGTTGGTCAAATAATCAACCCTTTTTGCCCAACTTTTTTACAGTGTAGTAATACAAAAAACACCAAACCCCAGTCTTATCAGTAAAAGCAACCACCATCATCCCCGGACCCCCCCCCGAACTAGCACCAAATATATCAATTAGTTTCCTTAGTCTTTTGAATACCAAATTTTATTGAATTATTTGATCCTTTTCAAACTTTGTTACTCGGAGAAAAAAAAACCCGTTTCAAACCAACTTGTCAGAACAGTATTACGACACAGTTATTGTTTTATAGATTATAAAATAGCACATTATGTCAACGTAATGCATCTCAAATATGCATGATTATCATATAACATCATGACGAATAACTCAAATTCGTCTGACATTTTAATGGAACTTATGTGTCCTTGTATTTGCATCATTCTCCACGCAACCATCGCTGCAAGTAATTGCTTTAGCACATGTCGCCCTACGTGTTTCTCATCGTTACTTCCTTACACATGCACAGAACATTTGAAAAACAAGACGTTGTTTACAGGAAGACATTCAAATTCTGCCTACTCATTTCAATAACACGAATTTACAGCAACAAACAGACATTGTCTTTGGGCTGATAGAACATTTTGCGAATCAATGAAAACGAAGCATTTCACTTGTTCTTAAAAAGGGGGTAAATTCCAGCAGGCACCCAAAAAAAGGACTAACAACGTCGGATAAAAAACAATCTTCTATTAGTGATACTGTTCATTATTTCATTCTTGCATTTTAGGGCGGCAGATTTTATAGGAACAATTCTTCATCATCGGTCACAGAAGTTATCTATAATGACCGATTTCACGAAAACTTCGTTGTTGACAAATTTGGACTTGCATGCAGCTGCAGCGTTCATCAACGCAAACATAAACACTCATAAAAAAACCCACCACAACAATCCTATTGATTTATTATGGCAATCGCTGTTTTTCTGAAAAAGAAAGAAATCTATCTTGTACAGCTAGGGGTATTTTTTTGTGTTGTTATTAAATTCAGAGTTACATTATCTGACATCACAATGCGAGCTCTTGAACTGACCTCTGGATGACCTTGGTGTGCCTTTATCTTCGTCCTTTGAAAAGTGTTTCGTGGACGGCAAATATAACACGAACAGACTATGCAGTAACAGGTTGACAGGAACAAAGCAAAAATCAGACAGAAATTTTGAATATTATATTTCGATATGGTAAAACATCGATAGATTAATTTGAATCGTGATTTGCAATGACGTATGCAAATATATTCAAATCTCATTTTTTGCTTCCGTCACCCGATTTACACTCAAAATGTTCTGCGTAATGGATCAAAGCATTTCAAAAAGCAAATCCAACCGAACGAAAACCGAAACGAATCTAACTTAAGCGAATCAAAATAAACAAACCACACCGATATGAACGGAACGGAACCGACAAAATGAACAGTAGGCCTACTACACGTTCAAAAACATTGTTGATAAATTCATTTTAGCAAAGTTTCGGCTGAAAGTTTGTAGATTCGATTTCTTAAATAGTATTACTCCGAAGATTTTATGAACTTTTGCATTCGCATTGGTTAATTTTAGAGATAAACACTAAGCATTTTGTTGTTGCATTATGTAAATATGAAATTGTATTTCATTGCTTCCTGTGTGTGTGACGTTCGTTCAATCTCTTAATTCTACAAATGAAAAGCCTATACATTTTAAAATCCATCGCTCAATTTGAGACATTCCAGTAATATATAAACACGTAAGAAGCCTGTTTCCTGATAGACGCCACGGATACCTGTGAACAATCGTAACACACAAACAACACGGTTCTTGCAGGGTGTCAAGGTTTTTTTTTTTTTTTTTTTTTGGTACCAATTTTTCAGCGGCAAACAGACCGTGTGTTTCCCGCGTGTTTGTGGGTCAATTGACGGTAAGTGTTCCCAAGGATCTCTCGGTCAAAACAAGCCAAACGGCACGTTCATGTAAATTGGGTTATGTAATGTTGAATCGTCAGTCGGCTTATTCGTCGACTATTAACAGACATAAAATGGTGATTTATTACAATTTAGGAACCATTTACTGAGCCGTTCGAAGAATTTGGATGGCGGGTAAACTGACAAACTGCTAAAATATTTTGATGTGTATATCGGTGCTTTGTGTGCAAGACGAATATCAAAGAACACTACTATGACATTTATGAAGAGCTATAAGAATTATCTGTTATTCAAAGTGAACTACATGGTTCATAATTAAAAGTGATATCACCATGCACGTCAAAAACCCTTGTGTTTGAAACAAAATGTTGCGCTTTTTACATTAACGAAAAATCACAGGGCCGAAAAGATCACATAGATCTGTGAACATTTGAAATGAATGCCTGAGGAATATTTAGAAAAAAACACCCACAATACTTTACAGTTATGAAATTTAAACAAATAATGGCGGGAACTAAATCGGCTCAGGTGAGATATAATATGGACTATCGCGAACAGTTCTTTAAATGTGGCAAGTGAAGCCTCCGTATATTTAATGGATCTTAAGTGAACTACCACCGTTTTAGAAACTTGGTACTTACTTACTTGGTACTTGGTGGTTATCCTCTTCAGAACTCCTTGAGAAAGTCTTACTAAGAGGCTTGGAGAGTGGCATATTCAACTAAATCAAGGATTTGAATTGATTGTCGTTTGGGGCATTGATGACATCTTGGGGTAATTTGTTCCATTTTTTGACAGTTCTTGGTAAGAAGGATTGCATGTAGACATTGGTTCTTGTGGTGATTTCATTAAATTGGCAGTTGTTCCCCCTCCTTTGTCTGTTACTTTTCGGTTGCAGTGCATCTGGTTGAATGTTTACTGTGTTGTTGATGACCTTGTACAAAAATACTAGTTGGTTTGATTCCCTCCTCTCTTCAGGTGATGTCCAAGAAACACATCTCCTTCCTAAATGTTTACACCATTAGTGAAGGATATGTCCTGAAATCATTATTGACAACGGAATGAAAAATAATCAAAGAAACACCTTCTCACGTGGAAATGCTGCTCACATTGCATTGTGACAGCGAAATTGTATCGCAATACTGATTTTGTTTCAAAGACTGCAAAAACAATTTACTATTGTATCAAACTGATTATGAAAATATTAGTTCCATGACAACGACTAGTTATTAATTTTCATTGTTGAAAATCGGTATGTCATAATTATACTCGTGATTATGATAGGGTAATAACAGAAATTTGGCATATCACTTTGCAAATATTTTCTCAGTGCATGCCGCACCGTAACAAGGCACGGACTCACCAAGTTTATAGTGTCATTAATTTTTGTTCATGCAACAGATTCTGAAGCATAAGCCTACTCCTACAATTGGACATTCCAAAACAGTCATAGTAAAAAATTGTATATAATATTCCGTGAACTCCTATAGACGACCATTAGTCAAGACGAACTCTTAAAATATATGCTCATTTCCGGTAGTTTAACAAGCACCTATACCACACTAAGTCTTTGTCACTCACCCTCTCTAACATGTAATAAAGGTTTCTCTCTTTAAAATTTTGAAAATAAAAGTGATTTAATAAAATATTCTTGCACTGCAACAACCAACTGTGTGTATTTACGGTGTTAGTTCCGCCAAAACGGTAGACCTATACAGGTAGTTTTCAAATGATCTTTATGCCGTTTGAACTTCTTTAACTAAAAAAGGTCACATGAGGGACATAAATGGACACTCGTACTACTTGTAACTGTGCCACTGACTGTCTTTTCTGCAAAGGGTTTAACATCAGGCAGCATTAAACAGGTTGACACAGGAAGCATAAATCGTAACATCGACTGTGTCATCTGCCACAACTATATCAAACGTCTCTCCCGGACACGCACATCCCAATTTAGCGGTGGTTAATTATGTAGTGATACGTCCCGGTTGTCTGTGATCTGTCCGTCCAAACGAAGGGGTCAATCAGGGGTCTTCTTGGGGTGGGGAGTAATTTAGGGGGATTTTTAGGTGCAAAATGGGAAATTGGATATTTCCACGATGTCATCGTAAATGTATCTGCCGTGCCCCCTTGTCACTGCTTCTTCGGCGCTTAAGCTTAATTTAGGTTGAAAACAATAGTGGTTCGGTGGGCTTTTTCTGGATTCGTATGGTTGTCCTAATACAGAGATTCTTGAAGCGGATTTGTCTTGATCCAGAGTGATGTGTTATGGTGGAGAATGAAGGTAAAATGAAAACGGCGGGCGAAGATTACATACAATAAGTGGCGAAATTCGCGAAATGCTTAAAGACCAGTTTGGCTTCTGAGAACAGGTTAAAAATTGCAATATACGGTGAAGAAAAGACTACACAAGAAAGACTGGCAGAGGGATATTTCTGTCGAAAATTGGGCGCGTTAACTTTTGAAAGACGACACTCACGCCGTGTTTTTGACTAAATAATAAAAAAGGTATTGTGGATAGCCTATACCAAGAAAGGTCCGTTTAGTGTCAACCGAAATAATTTCCACAAAATAAGAAATTCCCTTAATTCGAGGTATTAATAACTGCTCTGGAATGGTGATCTTCCCAAGTGAGCTTTAAAAGTCTTTTACATCTGAGATATTGGGTGAGATCAGTTACAGAACATTGCCTTTCTTTCATAAAAATGAACGAAATATCAAACAAAAAATAATACATTATTATGATTGATTCACTGGTTCATAATAACATCACAATTTGTGGTCACAGAGACCCAATTACATTTGATTTTACATTAAACTACATATTTAAGTAGCTCTTAAATATGCGTTTTAAAAAAATAGCAATTTTACAGACAACTATGCAAAATAGGTTAATAATTTTAATTTGTGCATTTGAGCGATTGCAGACAATAAAGAGGTTTGAATCCTTATTTATTAAGCAGAAGTATAGTTTTTACACTCTACTTTTGGAGCGCTTTGATCTCATTAAGATCTCACACACAACTGTGTTTCGAGTAACGGAAAATTCTCTTTATTTCTGATGTTATGCTATAGGTACTGACGGCCCGCCGCCCGGCTGGATGTTCACGTTAGCCGCTCTCCCGAGGCGCACCAAGCGCCGCCCTTACTCCAAGATGACCATCTTCGAGCTGGAGAAGGAGTTTCAGGCCCACCAGTACCTGACCAGAGACCGGAGAGCGAGGCTAGCCCAGTCCCTCAGCCTGACCGAGAGACAGGTCAAGATCTGGTTCCAGAACCGCCGGATGAAACAGAAGAAAGTCAACGATAAGGAGAAGACCAAAGCGGCAGGGAAAACGGACAGGAAGAGCGATTAACGTAATAACGTCACGTGTCACGTGATGTGTTGTCTGGAATGAATTTTCAAATCAGGACAGGAAAGAGTCAGTCTTTCCCTGTTGTGAAGCGGTTATGTGGCTCATTTGTGCCAACCATTATTTCCATTAGAACATCGTTTCATGTCCATCAAAAAGAGCCAGAGTTTTATTGTGGTTCTGTAATTAGATCATGCAGTATTTTACCCAAGCCAACTACGATGACATCCGCATGAGACGTGGTATACAGTGCGCCCCCAAACGCTTGTTGAATAAAGCCTTGCAGGGGATCAATTCTGTTTTTCTTGCAGGAAAAGTGAAAACCGCACCCATAACCGACCATGCCTATAGTCAGCTGGATGCAAGTTGGACTGTTTTCCAGTCAAATCGGACATTTTTAAATTAAAGATCGTTTCCGACATATAGAGTGTGCAAGTTGATCACAAAATCCGGCGAGATTTAGCAGGAATAGAGATAGAAAGTGAACGTGAACTTGCAAGACTTGCACAATACCATAGGCTTTAACAATGGAAATTTATCCAGGCATTGTAAGAATCTGCTGATGTATAAATAGTAAACATTAGTAACAATAATTACTTGTTTATATAATATTAAATTACACGTCCTGACGTTCTCGGCAGCCTGTGTGGATATTGGTTTATAACTTGCCTCACCATTAAAATCTTTAGAGGATGTACTTAATTGAAATTGATATGAATGAAATTATCGAAAGCATATACATGTATATCTTCTTTTTAATGGATGCATCGATTCTTAATGAATGTAAACAAAAGTTTATAAATACTGACCTCAGTCAGAATTGGGTAATGGAATCGGGTACATACAGGGAATGCGAATGCAGAGTCGGACGACCAGGAACGTTGCAGCTGATGGATGTTTGCAATTTTAAATGTGTGCATCACCAAAGCTCGAAGCATATTACAATTGCAAACGATCTCAACTTTCGTTTTCGTCTTGGAAACAGTAATATATCCAAATATTTTAAGTCGAGCAAAATTCATCCAAAATTGTTTCTTGACTTACCGATATAAGTGACTGTGAGTGCTGAACAACAGTTCAGCACATACATGTACAGGCAATCGGCCATTTAAACAAAGTGCTCACGGGGCTTTAGCAAAAGTCCTTGGCCTGTTTATATTTGAAGTTGTTTCTCACTCAAACCCTGAAGTGTTGTCAAGATCATTGAATAAAATCTTTCCACAGAACAAGTATGTACTTAAAACAGATTGTTTTGTCATTTTGATGCAAAAAGTAGATTGCTTTTATATAGGTCTTTGAACGGATTCACCATATTGAAACCAAAACGAGATTGAACGTGCCTGACACCCCCAAAAAGAGAAAAATATACGTCGCTTTTTAAAAGCATTTCAAATGGGCTAAGCTAGGTAATTCTAGCCCAACTGTGTAAAGGATTTACAGGTTAATCTGGCTTGGGTAACACTTCTAAGAGTCAAAATGATGCCACGTTAATCTTCCCCGACGTCTTTTTTTAAAATTTTATTTGAAAACAATACTGCCGGAATTTATTTTCGAAAACGAACATGGTGTGTGTCTCTGTTTCGCAAGTCCATGAAAATAGCGAATTAGCGCATCGTTAATCACATAGGACTACAGACCCTATGAGGGTATTTTGGGTTTTCTCAGAGGGTTCTTGGTAATTACAATATTCACATATTTTTCTAAAACTTTAAAGAAATGTATTTTGACCGTTGCTTTCTTATATTACTTTAGTCGGTGCCACTGCGGCCACCAAAAGAGGGCGCTTTAGCATTTTCCCCACTAAAGGTTCTCATTTTTGTCTTTCTGCAGTTGCTTGGTGAGGACATGTGGTTAAAATCTAAGTGCATTTGGCCTACATACAATTAGCTAGACAGGCAAAACTGATTGGATAATTGAGACCATAGATCCCCGTTGGGGGAGTTAACGTTCCATCCTGAAAACAATCTGTGACATGAAAACAATATAACCTTCATAAACTGTGGGCAAATTTTTAGAACAAAATAACCCCCGAGTAATTGATTGCAAATAATCGATTATTGAAATACCGCATTTAAACCATTCCGACCACCCCTCCCCTCCCTCACAAATGACACGTTTGCGCCAGATGAAATCAAGGCCAGCCGGGGGTTTATTTACAACCGAAATGTCTTCAACAAACAACTCCCGGAAGGCATACCACCACCACTGTCCCACCTATATCGACCGGTAACCCATCCCATATATCGTGGCGGCTGATGGCAAACGACAGGTATGGACTGGCTACCGGCTGGGACTGTCTAGCGGCACTCTTTGATCTTGCCGTTTATGGGGGTAGGTGAGGATCGTAGAATTCAGTTGGACAACTTGATCTGTGCTGTGTGCAGTTGAGACAAGGGGTGGAAAATGTGTCAAAGGGTCACAGGAGGGGTGTCAACAAGCTTATCCAGACTTGGGTTTGAAGACGGCTTTTCTGAAAAGTAAACTATACTTTTTAATTTGTGATTTAATGGGTTTGTTCCTCTCGATATACAAACACAGGACAAGGTACAAATTGTTATTCGTGTAGAATAGTACGAATGCACTGCATTTTATTGGAAAAGTATACAGGAAATGAAGCCGAAAATTCGAGTAAATATCCGGGGAATAATCTATAAAATTGAAATTAAAGCTGAATGGATAGATAACAAAACACGCAAGTTTGTACTAAATTTGTGGAGTTTTGTGCAGTGTAGTATGGATCATTCTATAACTATAAATTGCATTTAACCATTACAATGCAATGACATCGTTTAGTTTAATTGATTAGTTTAAACAGTTGGTTACATGATGTTCTAAAAGTGCATGTATCGTGATGAATTATCACTTACATATCAATTAGGGTGTTATCAAACACTTAAAAGGCACGCTGGAAGGGGGGGGGGGCGGACACCGAAGGTTTGTTAGGTCACATTCAAGAGAACACAGAACACTATTAGTTTCTCTCAAACCTGCATGTCACAGAATTTGTTTAGTGGGAGGGGATGAAGTCCACGAAATCGCTTTGTGTGAAAAGGACCGTTACATTTCTGGGTTCTTCTGATCATCATTTTTGACGAGGCTGTTTTAGTTGGAGCAATCGTGGATGTGTATAGATCCTTCGCACTGAAGCCTTCTTGAGGCAGGTCGATTGAATAATGTTGGACATTTTCATTCCGCATGGCAGTAGACAGGGAACGTCAGGGTAACATGCAATAAGTTATTGATGTAACATTCCAAATGTCTCCCTGTTGTGTAATGATGATAATGGTCAAACCTAATTGGAAGAACTACTGTTTTGGATAACAAAAATTGGTTTGGCGTTGGTTCATGCCTCAACCATTCATCGTAAATAACAATGTCAAGACAGGAAATATTGTTTTCAATGATCAAGGTTTTTTGGGGTCATTTTTCGACTTGTAATATTTACCTCTAAAATCAGGGTTACAGCTATATGACCGTCAATTTATAACAGCAACTGCGGCTAGTGTTTATTTCACAAGTAGGCGACAAATTTTGTTTCCACAAAGCTACTATATATATTTTTTTAATAAACAGTGGTGAACGGAACAGAGGTTCATAATTTATCATCTAACAATTCTTTTTCAACAGCGTCATTAATCATTACGCTCCCAAGACACACGTGATGATTCTGCAGCGGACAAACTTCAAATGTGCAGGGCCTCTACAATGAATTTCACACAACGGATGGGGAAAAAAATTACAGAAGTTGGAAAGCGTTTGCGTTTTTGTTAGAATCGAATGGCAAGTTTTATTCGCCCAGATCAAAAGATGCGGCAATCGCCCCCATAACACCTTTTGACGAGCCCATAACCATGCAACGCGCGGCCATAAATTGCTTCAATTCATCAGCAGAGCGCACATCGTAAAAATAACACAGATGCGAGATCCCCAAAAGAGGTTTTTTTTTATTGTGGCTTGGCTCGGTAACTCTGATTGCCCGAGTCACAGCAATAATATTTTAATATTCCGTGTCCTTAGTTGACCTGTCGGGAGATAAAGCAGCATAAAACCAACTTTAATTGATAAAAGTGCGGGATGATTATGTGCCACAGCAGAACTGTGACAATAAACAAACCGAAAAATATGCTGACCCCTCTCTGGCTTCAACTTCTGTCTCTGCCGAATTTTCAGCTTCAACAAACTTGACAACTTACAGTAAAGCAGGTGCATGGATTTTGCAATTAAAAATAAAGAAACTAACATTTATGCAAAAATTATTTACAGTTCGACAGGAACATACCCAGTTAAAATTTGTTTCAAAAGAACTGTAAGTCACACTTTCCTCACAATCAAATGTACATCTGATTTTGTGCTCTTTAATATTTTTGTTCCCAAGTACTGTTTTATATTGAAATTCAGTGGTGTAACTGGCGTCCATTTTTTGGGGCCGTATCATAAGTCCGACGCCTCATAGGTCCGACGCCTCATAAGTCCGAAATTTCGATAAGGGAGCATAAGGGAGCATAAGGGAGCCACAGGCCTCGAGTGGGGGGGGGGGGGGGGGGGGCTGGCCCCTACACCTCACGTACTGTTGAAATTACGCACAAGTTGTAGTTCCCGGCCTTCTTCCAACTCTCAGAAACTTGTCTGCCGATGAATCGACTAATCACCAGTTCATATCGAAAACCAAAGAAAAACGGCAAATACCTGTCACAGACTCTTTTTTAATGGAACTCGTCCTTATAATACCGGATTTTAAAAAAGATTGTATCCAAATTAAATGCACATTTTGCTTAGTTTAAATGAAGCAACACTTATTTTGCATCAGCATGGAAGCCATTCACAGTATGGCAACTTGAACTTGTATGTATAGAAGGAGCCCATCCATAGAGCTGTATAATAAAGAACACATTTCCCGCAGACCTGGAAAAAAACAGGAGGTGGACGTCGAGTCAAGTTTAAATAATCGTAAATAAAAAGACTATATTTTGTCACGCAAATTGGACTTTTGAATTAACGGCAACACCGGATACTGTTCGCAGGAGCAAAGTCGAGGGAGGGATGATCGCCAAGTGCCCCGCATGTCCCGCTGCCGGACACGGTGAGTTACTCGCAACAAGCGTAATCAGACTTTTATGAGGATCAATCTGGCATAATGATCGGCTTGCATGACATTCCCAAATCACTTCTCTCGATACCAGAAGCCGGTATCAAGCTTCCGAACTCCAAGAAATCACAGGTCCCCATCCACCAAAAAAAAAAAAATTGTCGAATTTTACGAGCAACTTTAATTTTTCGTAATGACTTTCACCCTTTCTCGATCTCGCCTCCTGCAAATAATAGTGGCCGTGGACTGCCACAAATTCCAACTTGACGAAAGACGTCGGAGCTTTTTTTTTTTTTTTTAGGTGTGTAAGAGCCCTTTGACTTTCTTGCCGAGGTTGGGATGAACTCACTCCCGGTATTGCTTTATAGTTACGAAATAAATATGTTTCTCTTCAGAGAACAGGCCGAAACATCGAAGACAGCAATGCATTGGTATGATAGATCCAGGAAGGGCTCATAAACAGGTCATTAAAATGCGCGCGAAGTGCAGATTTGGGGTTTTGGAATAATTCTTACTTCTGTGAGAGGTTGTACTTTTCCGAGCTCTGATAATAATAAGGTCTACCGACAACCAGTTTGTAAACGAATGTTCGTCATTTCAATCCGAATAAACACATCTTTCGCTTGCAGTTTTTTCTTTTAGTGTGGGACATACAGCCTTGACGAAATTTAGGATATTTGTACAGTCTGTTAATAAAACGTGCGAGTATTCGATCGCCTCAGGAAATAAAGTATCTTAAGGCCGATCACAGCTACGTTCAACAGAGGGCGCTGTGCAAACTATCCAGGAAATGTGATAGGATGATCTGACCCATTTGTGTCGAAAACATGTTATAAGTGAAAAAGTCATTGACTTTTAAAATTTCAACATTTGCAAACATCAAAAACAAAACTACCAAGTTATTATGAAATACCTTGCTGGACTGTTAGTGAAGACAGTCTAAAGCATCCTGTAAAATCATGGCACCTGCATGGTGTGCTGTTATTTTTTAAGAAAGTGGTATATTTTTGTATTGATTTCCAACGCTGGTCGGCCGAGCAGCGTTGGAAAAACTTTTTTTTTCTTCAAATACTGCTCCCAATTTACCATATTTAGTTAGTCCGCATTTAGTTTGCAATCGATCACACACCT